GAATAATCCAGTTATCAAGGACTGGTTTGGTTTTGGTGTTGCTGCCTCAGAAGACCAAAGAATTCCACATTGGTCTGTCCAAAGCTGGGGGCAGAGAGCACTGCACCTCAGGCTGCCATCCAGCCCATCTACATTCTGTGCTGGAAGGCCCCCAGTGCCTGTGAAAACAGATTTTAAACCACAACTAAAGAAACCAACTTGTTCTGATTATTAGAAATGGGTTCATGCTTAGATCAGTGCTGCAGACCCTCATCTTTAATTAATACACAAGCAATTCCACTTTTAAATAATATATTCTTTAAAATGGAACTGTTCCACTATAGCCAACCTCAAGAGATACAAACTCCTGACTCAGACACTATAAAGTTTCAATATCAAGCCTCAAAATTTCTGAGATTAAAGAAAAAAAAAGTGATTTGAGGCTTCTTGTTTGGCCCAATGAGTGCAGCTTTGCCAGCCCTACATCAGTTTTGTTCCCTGCTCCCTCCCCATCTCTCACTGGGGGTGTTCCAGCATGTCCTTCATGGCTTGGCCAGGCTGTTCTTACCCTGGCAAAGGCCAGGACACACCATCCCCACCCCTTTCAGGATAGAAGTCAACCACATAACAGTGGCCACCCTCCTGACCTCTTCCTCCTGTAGGGAGGGCACAGAAGGAGGGGCAAAAATATCTTAGTTGTGTCTACAAAGCACCTGATGTTATCCCTAAGATTTAGGCAAATCCAGGGAATTTTCACACAGAGTTGCTAAAATCATGATGCTTTGCAAGAGATGAGTGACAGCAACCAAAAGGACTTGACTGTTTTTTCTGTCATTTATCACAGAATCACAGAATAGAGTGGTTTGGGTTGGAAGGGACCTTAGAGACCATCTTGTCCATCCAGGGCAAGGACACCTTCCACCAGCCCAGGTTGCTTCAGAGATCCATCCAACCTGGACTGGAACACTTCCAGGGATGGGGCACCCACAGCTTCTCTGGGCAGCCTGTGCCAGGTCCTCACCTGTAAAGAATTCCTGAACATCCAACCTAACCCTGCCTCAGTTGGTTTATTTCCATGATTTACCTGGCACTGACATTTGGTTTCAGAGTTTTGCAGACCCCTCAGTGGCTGGATCACAGCAGGCACAGCACAAGATTTTCCATGCCCCAAACTCCAGCCTGAAGCCTTTAGGTCCTGTATCCCTTTACATCATCACCTGGAGAAGGTGGGAACATCAGGGAAACTGCTGCTTCAGCAGCTCTAAACCCCTGACACGACTGTCCTGGCTGGGGTTTTGTCCATTTCTATTTCATCAGACACCAAGACTTCACCTCTGCCCACATTCCCATCCTGGTGTACCTGTTTTCCCATCTTCTGGAGGAAATTCTTACAGTCCCCTAAGCTTCTGAGGGAGCAGAAAGGTCTGGAGGACCAAGCACAAAGAATCCCCTGGGTCCTGCCAAGCCTCATCCTTTCTTCTACTTGATGTAGAATTTGCAGCAAATTGCTAAACCTCTTCCCCCCAAAGAAGAAGAGAGGGAAGGTGGACCAATGCACTAATGTGTTCTGGTGCAATGGCTCCCAAGTCAGTGATCCAGGCAAGAGCAATGTGTTCTGCTGGTTTGGAAAATTATTATAAACCACAAGGTGTCCTAAGGGATGGGGAGGTACTGTGATGTACTCTGAGATTTGAAGTTGTGGGTTGTTTTTTTCCTCAGGACAGCATCTTCAGAAGAAAAGTGATTTATTTACAACAAAGAGATCAAAATTGAAATTTCAGATTAGTCTCAGCAGCCTGGTTTGTTTTCAATGTTAGATGTGAAAAACCACAAGCATTATTGTTTTCCAAATTTATCCTCAATATCCAGAGGACACCTGACATCATCCACAAGCCTGAAGTCATCATCCAAATTATTCAATTTATTTGTGGGTTTGTTTTACCATACCTCAATAAAACAACAAATAATGCTCTCTGGCCTGCTAATACCCTGAAAATGGCCATATATATGTTTTTGTCCAGGAGCAGAATCTGAAGGTGCTGGGACACGCAAATCATGGAATATTTCCTTCCTCCCTTATCTGATTTCACAGCAGATTAAATCCTGGTTTTGTTGTTACAGATGAGTGTCCAGACTATTCCTAATAATTGCAATTTCACACCCTCCCGAGGTTAAATTTTTCCTGAGCTTAATCAAAATTTTCAAAGAAAGAAACTTGGGATCACACACTTCTTAAACAATTTACATCGTTAGGTCAGAGAGACTCATTTTCCTCCCAAATCCTTAATATCTGATATAGGTACATCCTTATGGGGAAAAATAATATTAGGGATTCATTACAGTATTTTAGGGGTATAATCAGTGCAGATCCAACAATCTGCTGAATTCAGCCTTGATAAAATCCCTGTTAATGCAAAATGGATTTGGGACAGGGCTGTGTGCAACAAAGGGAAATTCAAGTGCCTTGAACAAGTAACACACATGGAGAAGAGTAGGAGAATATTGACTTGGCAAGAATGGGGCATCAAAAGTGCTTTTAACGACTCAAAAAAAAAATCTCAATACACCATGATGATATACCACAAAATACATATCAATAGCAAGAGGCCTAAGTACAGGAAGGTGAGAGGAAAGCAATAAGATAAATTCACAGGAACCTGAATTCAAAACCAAATATTAGTTTTTCTGGTGAATAGAAGGCATTTAAGAAGCACTGAAAACAACTTACTTTGGGATATTACAATTAAGAACCAAGTAAAGGTAAATGTTTTATAAACAACACTAGAGATTTCTTGATGCTTGGGCTTTAGGCCATAAAAAGACCTAAAAGTTGGCATTTAGACCAACCTAACTCCAAAGCATCATAGGCAACAACTCTGCAACAAGATCTGATCACTCTTTGCAAATTCCACAGTGATGACAGCCAGCTTATTCAGAGGAAAAGGTCTGTGCTCCCACTGTATTCCCAGGAATCCCTCTGACATATCAAAATTTCCTTACATCTATGTTTGAGCTCACTTTGATCATGAGTTTCATGGCACCCACCTCTGCTCTTGCCTGGGGCAGAAAGGGCCATATTTTCGTGCAATATTTGTCCTGGGAGTCCTGCGAGTGAGCAGATCAGTGCTGTGAGCCTGCTACAGCAAAGTAAAGTGACAAAGATCTGGCTCTACCTCCCCCTAATTCTGCAGAAGGAGCCTGGCTGTCTCTGTAAACCTGAGCCAAAACAAAAGTTAAGAAAACAGAGGCAGACATTTCACAGGATCTGGAGAGGCTGTAAAGGTTTTATTGAATCTTTCTGCGGCAGCGTCAGCGCAGCATTTCACACTCCTGCTTCCCTGAGGCTGACTTGTGAAAAAAGCATGTGCCACTCAAATGTGGGGGCTACATAATCAGCAGAGGCTGTCTAGAAGAAAATGGAAAGCAGTCACTGCCAAGCATCATTTAGAGAAGAACAAAAAATGGTCTCAGTAACCCAGCAAGTGCCATTTTAACCAAGAGCTGAGCCCCAATTGCAGCACCACGGGAGAACAAGCAACAGGGAAAAGCCATGAAAACAAGAGCAGATGAAGAACAGAAAGACAGTGCCAGATCACATGATACAGCACCTGAAATGTTGGCTTAGGCTCCTGGAGCACTTTTCCATAGAATTTTCCTATTGCAGAGGAAATCCCATTCCTCTGCTTTGGCATCACTGCCCATTTGCCACTAAACAAACACCCTGCAGGCACACAAACACCTGAACTCTCTCCCGGGGATGAACAAGTGGTTTCCTGGTGGACCAGCACATGAAATCTCATCTGATCCTTTCTCATGTAAAACATTAGGCTTGGAGTAACTAAATGCACAACTATTTTCCAGCTCATAAACTTAATTAGAGCAGCTTAGTCATCGACGTGCAGTCGTGTAGCGAGTCAGGGGCTGGGAATGCAACTTTCTCTCTCTGCTGGATCTCTCTCCTCTTGTTACAGGCTGACCCTGATATTAAAATTGTCCTTTTGCTGCCTGTTTATTATTGAGGAAGTTCAGCACTGCAAACTGGGGTGCAGGCAGGAACACAGAGCAGGTGACTGCATCCAGCTCAGCAAAGAAACAACCTCCAGAAGCATGCAGATACAAGGACTGCTGATGCCTGACTCTCAGGTGTGTACTTCAATGCTATTTTGTTATTAAATGAAACTTAGAGTTCTGCTAAATACAAAGAACTGCATTTTCTTTGGTGCAATGTGCCATCACAACCCTGTGCTGACCTACAGTTGTACAACTCCAGGCATTTCCCTTCTGTCTGCGAGCAAAGTTTCTGCAAATACTTTCTCTCTTTCTGTAAGGGAATGCTTTGGGATACTAATTTTAATTTCTTACTTTGAAATTAACCAATGATCAGCATAAAATCAATACTAATCATATAATCAGTATCAAATTAATCTATGTTTTAGGCTCCTGGTATTGCCCAAAGACACAAATGATCAGTTCTCTTCCAAATTCATTCTGTAATAAAGACAATGCCAGATTTGGGCAAAATTTCAGAAAGACTAATGGAAACACCAGCCCAAAAAGGACAATATTTATTAAATGGCATTAGACTGGCCAGTCCTGTTACATCAAGAAATCATCCCTGGTTATATTACACATTCCTAGAGGCTCCAATGCCTTCAGAAGGAGTGGAGGAGAGAAAAGAATAAATGACACTGTGCAATATCAAAACTTTCAGGAATTTTTTTCTGAATTTCCTGGATATATTTCAGAAGACTGCACCCTGACATTTTCATTCCTATGATGAAACATTTTATTCCACAGGAAGGAGAAGAAAAATAGAATAACAATCAAAAGGATTCTCTGAGAAACTAAGTATGAAGAAAGATAATATGCAAATGGACCTAAATTAAGAATACAGTGAAAACAGGTAAGGTAAGCACCCTGGTGTTTATCTGTGTTTGCCATTTTGCACCTGCATTTTCTTGTGCATGTAAATATCCACACTTCCAGCATCTTAGCAGAACAGGAGGAGAAAAAGGACTTACCTTATTCATTAACTCTGTATAGAGCATCCCCCCTAGAGCTCCACAGCTGCTTTTATTTCCAAGTCTGGACCACAGTGATCTGTAAAAGCATAAATCCACAGGGCTCCTGGTGTTTCAAGTTTTGCAGTTCAAGAGGGAGAGGGGAAAATCATTCTGCTCCTCAGCCAATCTCCCTCCTGCTCCCCCTTCCCATCTCGGATCCCAGACTGGATTCTGCGCTGTTCCTCCCCCTCACTCTGCCCGGTGCTGCTGCTGTCGATCATCCATCCATCCATCCATCCATCCATCCATCCATCCATCCATCCATCCATCCATCCATCCATCTCACCCCATGCAATTCCCTCTCTGGAGCACCCTGCCCCTCTGCCTGTGCCACGCAGCTTCCCAAAGTGCAGGGGCTCCTCACAGGGCCCTGGGAGTGCTCCAGGAGGGAAAGGGGCTAAGGCAGAGCAGCAAGCTCTGTCACAGCACATGTCACACGCTGCTGGCTCCCTCCTGCCAGCACAGCTGGGATCCTGGGCATCCCCCCCACCACAGAACGCAGGATGCTTTTAAAAGAGAAGGTGCTTTTTCTCATCAAATTATTCTTACTCTTCTGGTAAGAGAGGAAAAAGATCTGCAACACTAAAAGTTGCTTTCACAGAGGTAATAAAAGCTTTTTTTAGTATTGCATTTCACTTTTCTTCACCAGCACCACCAGGCAGTTATAAGAGTGGACTGGATGGTAAAAAGATGTGTGTGTAAATCATCATCACCACCCTGAAACCAGAAAATTTTACATTAACTGGAGCCCTTTCAATCCCCGCTGTAGCAAAATAAAATCTGAAGCCTGTAAAAGAAATTTGCAAAGAAGAAATACAGGGAATGATCCTCTCTTTTCTTCACTGAGGCAGATTTCTGTGTCTGTACAGCTGAATCTCAGAGTCAGTTCTCTTTCATCAGCCCTGGTCAAGAATCACTTTCCTAGGTAACACAGCAAACTGACCCAGTCCTGGATACAGACAGAATATTGCAGCAAACATTTTTAGATGCTTTATAACTCATCACTTACCCTATCACCTTTCTGGCAGGGGCTAGGTATTAAGAGGCTGCAGAAGTCACTGAAAGATTTTAATAAATTACTTCACTTGACATATTAGTATTAAAAATAAATAGAGACGATGACACTATTTTGGTTTCATTTTAAAAAATATTGTCATGATTTCATGGGTGTCTTTCTATGCTTGCCAAAGGTGGAAGGACTGTGTTCTAGCAGTAAAAGACAAAAAAAAAAAAAAAAGGATTCTGTTCTAAAATGGTAAAAGAAGATAAGAAGCAGCAAATTATATCCAGAAATATTGAGATTCTTCTGAGCCAGGGCAGAGCCTCAGAGTAAGGCTGGATACCACTCTCTGATTGTTACATAAAAAAGAAAAGCAACTTGTTTTTTTATTTCCTTATGAAAGAAGTGGGAGTAGCCCAGTTTTTGGGTACAGACTGGCTCCAGTCAGTTCACCCTTCCTTGGCACACTCAGGTCCTTCAGCCTGAAAGCACTGCACGAAAAGGGAGGAATCATGAAACTCCAGAACCCAAAATCCAGGCTGCACCATCAAAGACCCTGTGTGGCAAGTGATTTGAGGCCAGTTCACTGCAGGATTTACAGGAACACAGAGCTTTATGCTCAGCTGGTTTGAGGCTACTCTGAACAACATGCTCATCCTTAATGCCATGTTTTATTCAGGGGGTGAAGAACCCTGGCAGAGAAAGGTGAAAAGCACATGATTCTCCAAAGAGGAAATTCATTCTAGGTAAGAACTTCAGTCTTCCAAACTTCCAGTGTGTGCCAAAGCAGCTGCAGACACCAGGAAGGCTCTTGGGATGTGGAGCTCTGAGCCCTCCAAAACCACCCCTGTGCTGCTGCTGTGCTCGAGAGGAGACCAAGGCAAGCACCCCTGTGCTGCTCCCTGCTTTGTGGGGAAAGTCCTGAGGTGACACTTGGGGTCCTTTTCACCTCCAGCTCTTCACACCAACATGGAGCAGAGCAATAAACATCAGCATTTGGTGAGGGTTAAAGAGAGCAGTAAAACTCAGGATGGCCAGGACTTGGAAAGGACAAAGAAATGTGGAAAAGAAGGAAAAGATGGGGGTAATTTAGAGCACCAGCCAGAGCCTTGGCACTTGGAGATAGCAGGAACATGGTTCTCCAAACAGATGTTTCTTTAAAGAGGACTTTGATAGCTGCTACAGACTCAAAAAACAGTAGATGTGGAATATAAATCAAAATCCTTCTGGGGCATGTCGCTTATGTCTAGGAAAGAGTTTGCAGAAATCATGGCTAACAACTCATGGAAGCTGGCAATGGGAGGAAATTGAGTTTATTCCCCAGTTTATTGCAGGTGGTGACATTGTCATTGCTAGTAACAGATCACAGATTATGTCCTCATCCTAGCTCCCATCTGAACTGGTCTTACTAACTGGTCTTGACTTGCTTTCCTTGCTCAAGCAGCAAAGTAGTCAGGGCACTCAGATCTTAACAGCAAAATAAGAAAAGTGGTGAGAGGGTTATTTTTTCGATCACAGTCCTTGTCCAGTAGCTTTAAACCTTGGACTTGCTCATATTTGGTAAGATTCAGTCTTACTACATATGGCAAAATCCCAGCAAAAAACCACATGAGAGTGAAAATCCTGGCACAGTAAGGGTTCATAGATGGCTGGGAAAGAAGCTCACTAACAAAAATAGGATAAAAATAGCACCAGGCAAACCACAAACTCGAGGAATTTTAGAAAATTTTGACTGTGCCAGGCCAGGCAGAGGATGTAGTTGAATGTTTTGAACTGTCTCATGGACTAGTTCAGGTTTAGTGAAGAGGTGAGACTCAAGGATTCAAGTTGTCAAGCAATTTTTCTAGAAATCTCAGAGGAAAAACCCCACAGTTTGGAAAACGTTCCACTGACTGAAGAAAACTAAGAAACTGCTGGTCTCCCCAAGCTTGAATGAACATAAGTGGCATGTACCATGAGAAACAAAAACCAATATTGAACATGCTTGCAAGGACAAAAAAAAACCTGAATATTTTATTGAGTTTTTAAGGAAAAAAATGTACAGGAAAAAAGAAAGGTACAGGGAAGAATATCCTTCAGCCTAGTAGTTCATTCATTCATTTTTTCTTCCTATTTTTAAAGCAGCTTTTTAAAAAATTATTGATTTAATGGAACAGCAAATAAAGAATAAATCAGAATGGCAGCATTTCTATTACTGATACACCACAGCAGTGCAAGGTGTCTTTTCATCACCCACCATGAAGCACAGCAAAGCTCCTTGCTCTCTGCACAGCACTGTGGGGGAATCCTGGTGCAGCACAAAGAACACCAGTGCAGAGCAAACGTGGTCATGTGCCAAGGGCAGGGTGTCTGAAATGTTCAGTGCATTTACTCACATGGTTATTAAAAAAATAATAACTGTGGCTTGATGCTTAATGTCACACTGATCAGCTGAGATAAAAACTAACTCCCTGCTCTGCTTACACAATTTCATCCATGACAACAAGAAATGGAATGGAAGAAGGAGATTTGAGTGCAAGGGTTTCACCCATCTGGATATATCCAATGAAACTGTTCCTATTCCTATTCTTGTCTCACTGTGAAACAGCTGCCAGGACTCATTAGAGGGCCAGGCTGTGCAAACCTCCCACTGCAGCATGTGACACAGTCAATTAACACAATGCCAGTGCAAACCTGAGGCACAGCAGATCTGGGTGAGGTGGGTGCCATCCTCTCCTGGGGGCTCATCTTCTGCCTGCCAGAACATGTTAACTGAGCCGTGGACTCTGCTGGACTGACTCACACCATTTTGGATGATATTCTAAATATCCCTGCTGTGACAGGATTTCCCAAGTGGAGCAATTGTGTTCATGCCCAGGTTTTCCCTGTTGGCATGACTCTGGAGGAGCTCTGCTGCTCTCACCCTTGGGACCTTCTCCACAGTGTCCACCCTCTGGGAGGGAGATACCTTGCTCAGCAAATGTGTAGGGTAATAAGAACCAAAATAAAATGTCAAAACACTTTTCCCCCACCCCTCCCTTTTTCCAGGGCTCAGCTTCACCCTGGATTTTCTGGCCCTCCTTCCTTCAGCAGGGGGCAAGGAAGGGGGCTGTGGTCAGTTCATCACATGGTGTTTCTGTTGCTCCTTCCTCCTCTGAGGGAGGACTCCTCACACTCCTCCCCTGCTCCAGCGTGGGCTTCCTCTCCCAGGAGACAGATCCAGATCCCAGGATGAACTGTTTCTGTGTGAGTCCTTCCCATGAGCTGGAATTCTGCATGAACTGCTCCAGTGTGGATCCTTCCCAGGGGTTGCAGTCCCTCAGGAATGGGCAGCTCTGGTGGGGTCACTGTGGGTTCACAAATCCTGCCCAAAATCCTGCTCCAGCCTGGGCTCCTCTCTCCATGGGGCTGCCTGTCCTGCCAGGACCCTGCTCCAGCACAGGCTTCCCAAGGGCTCAGAGCCTCCTTTGGGCACCCCCTGCTCCAGTGGGGGCTCCTCCATGGGCTGTGGGTGGATCTCTGCATCCCCCATGGATCCCCATGGGCTGTGGGTGGATCTCTGCATCATCCATGGATCCCCATGGGCTGTGGGTGGATCTCTGCATCATCCATGGATCCCCATGGGCTGTGGGTGGATCTCTGCATCCCTGGGGATCCCCATGGGCTGTGGGTGGATCTCTGCATCCCCCATGGATCCCCATGGAGGCACAGCTGCCTCTCCCTGCTCCTCTCCAGGAGCTGCAGGGTAATCCCAGCTCTTGTGCCTGGAGCTGCTCCTGCTCCTCCTTCTCCACCGACCTTGGTGTCTGCAGAGCTGTTCCTCTCACACATTCTCACCCCAGCAGGGAGGCTTTTTTCCTTCCTTCTAATCACAGAGGCCATTTCATCTCACTAAGTACAAAGAGCTGAGAGTAGTCAAGTGAATTGCCCTCTAAAAATGCCAAGTTTTCTAGAACTGGAGAACTAGGTCTAAAATTAGTCCTGACTCTAACTTTTCCTCACACATCCCTCCAAAACACCTTGCACCAACCTGCACTGCAAACGTAGGCAATGTGTGCTTTAGCACGCCTGCATGGAGCAGTGAATT